ATATATATAAGACACCTAACCCCAGGTCAGGATATACCTATTTCCTTTTTTTTCTCAGGCACATTCTTGTACATCTTAATACTTCTGAAAGTTGGAAGCATGATACCATCACTGCTATGAGGACTTTGTTAATACATATTGGAAAAATTTGTAAATTGTATGTTTAATCAAATTTAGAAATACAACCAATGCTATGATATTGTAATGTGCCATCAAATTGTATTGACAATCCTAAAATTGTCAGCTAGGAGTTAGGTGGGAGTAGCAGGTGGTGCACTCTGCTAATTCCAGCACTCTGGGAGGCTGAAGCAGGAGGATTACAAGTTTGAGCCTGGTCTGGGAAACTTAGCAATTTAGTGAGACCCTGTCACAAAATAAACAGTAAAAAAGGGCTGGAAATGTAACCTTATGATAGGCCCTGGATTCAATCCCCAGCACTGAAATAAAAGTTAAAGAGGCCTATATTACTATTGATGATCTAGGTATCAGGTTGGAAAACCTGATTTCATGTGTGGCCAACAAGGTTAAGATCTTAATATTTTAATTATACCCTATATACACATTTTGTAAATAATGAAAAGAGATCCAAGAATTATATCACCCCAAAAGATATTTATTGCAAAAAAAATGACATGTGGTTGAGGCAATTGATAACCAAGTAAAAGCGTGTAAGCTAAACTCTTGGTACGTAGTTTTTGGCTTTTAACTGAACCAACATAAATGGATTCATCTTTATGTCTCTCCAGATTCCCTCAATCCATCTGTTTCTCTAGGCTTTGGTCATCCAATTGCTCAGAGAAGGGCCCTGAGCACCACACCCCTCCTTCCCTCTTCTACAACTCCCAGCTATGTCCTTCTATCTGGAGAAGGATGGGGGCCCTCATGGGTGCCTGCTTGCACAGGCTTACTGGGGTGGGAATTGCAGCTACTCTAGAGCATAATCTGACCCAAGGAGATCTGCGGAGCCACTGTTGCTTCACTGTTTCTAAAGTGTTGTCTTGAGGGGAATCATGTTCACATTCCTCAGTGGCTGCCCAGAGGGGTTGGTCCATGAAGCTTGGGAGAGTGCAAATTATTCCTCATAAGGCAAACTTGGATCTCTGAGCCCTGTGACACAGAAAGGAGCAGCAAGTATGTTGCACTCACCTATCCCTAGTGCACTGTACAGATTGGTCAAGCAAGTGATGATCTTTTCTCTTGAAATCATGGACATCTTGATAATGCACATCTGGTGCCTATCTCTGCCCTAAGTTTACAAATGAAGCATTAGCACACACACTTGGCCTCATATTCTATTTTCTAGGGTAGTGGTTTTCAAACTTTTTACAAGACTGCGAGGTCCACCTCCAGAGTTTCTGATTTAGTAGATCTGGGATAGACTCCAAGAATTTACATTTCTAATAAGTTCCTAGGTAATGCTGATATTACTGGTTCACAGATTATTCTTTGAGAACCAATGTTCCAGGCAATGCACAGTAAGACAGTTGGTATCAGAAATGGTCCTAGAAGAAGAGCATTGGATGGGATCTACAGTTAGATTTTCCACCTGTGTGAAAAAAGCGAGGGATCCTGTTGTTGGTGATAAGCATGGTGGTATGTAGTGACATCACTGAGACTCATCAGTGGTTAAAGGAGATGAAATGCAGGCAACAATAATACATTGCAAGAGCAAGTGACTACAACACTTGACTAGTAAGGAGCAATGAGAACTAGAATTGTGTGTGGAGCTGCTGACAGAAATGGTATTTTCATAAATACAAAAAAAGGAGAATATGGAAACAAAGCCTTTGTAAATAGGGAGGGGTGGAGGGGTTAAAGGGAGGTAGGGCAATGCGGAGGAATAAGGCCCAAGATATACTGTATACAGGTACAAATTCCCAATAATGAATGTCAGCATACTGTAATCCTAAAATGTACCAATAAAATTAATGAATTTTTTAAAAAAAGAAATGGTACTTTTGTAAAATGGAAGTGACAAGTTCAAGGCAACCAGTAGCCAAGCCACACCACTAAAAGCCAGGAGGCCTCTCTAGAGGATTAAAGGAGATTATCTTTTCCTGCAATCATGGAGACTGAACTGAGATTTGGGCTTAGGATAAGATTATAAGAGCTAAGAATGGCAGAGCACTAAGTACACAAGCTCCATTGATTTCCTATGTGGAAGCCAGGATTCTGGTAGGGAAGATGTTGAATCCTCTGATCTGGGGTAAAGTGCTTGGAGGGAAGAAACTGGAATCTTAGAGACCACAGCTCCTCTAGACTGCTCAACACGGCAGAAGCATCTCCTTCCTCCTCGCCAGAGGAAAAACTCCCCTCCTTCCATGACACCACACAAGGCCGTCAGGTGAAAGGCACCTTGCAAGATACACTCCCACCCCCTTTTTTGCCTCCACATCAAAAGCCAGAGTTAGGTCTCAGTGCATCCTGAGCAGGCAGTACAGCCTCTGTTGTGGGAAGAAAAAGCACACATCTCAGAGTAATAATGAATACAGTGGATACAGTACAATGGCAGGGAGTGGGAAGTCAGAGCGGACGCTGAGGGTGTCTGATCAAGAGGACGGTGGAAATAAAGGCGTTCAGAGGGACAATGCATTGGCACCAAACGTTCACCTACAACGATATAATAATTTGGCCAAGCCTGGTTTTAGGGTCTGCTTTCTGTAAACCCTGAGCTCATGGTGTTTCACTGTAGCAAGCAGGGTGGAAATGCAGCAACTTCTTCAACACGGCATTGCTAAGATCAGAAGACTCAGGCAGGCTGGAATGAAAAAAAAATGGATTAGCTATTTACCACCTGTTAATGGTATGGGCCAGGGTCAGTGACATTCTTGGTAACATGGGATTGATGGTGGTGAGGTAATGGGAACTGAGCTTTTCAATATCAACAAAGATCGTGGAATGACCGATTTCAGATAGCAGTGCCTATCCACAAGAGTTAAGGTGAATGAAAGTACTGTGAACCACAAGATGGAAGGGCAATCGAGAGCTTCGACAAGCAAGAGTCTGTGGCGATAATGTTCCTGTGGGTGAGACTGACAGGCAGATGACTAGGAAGTTAATCAGCTTGTATCAAATTTTAAAGTGCTTAGGAGAAGGCTGACGTCCTCTGGAGCAATGCAAAATCAAAATTCCCACCCTGTTTCCAGGTCTAAGTTGAAATGTCTTGGAGCTCAATGAATACAGGAGAGGTAGAGTTCACTAAAGGAAGCATCCGTAACGACGCTATGCACGGCAAGTCTTCCTCTGGTTCTTCCCTCAAAGGACTTGCTGTTAATTCTGCGATTAATTGTTTCCTTGGTACTTTTCAGATACAGAGTCTGAGAAGGCATTTGCTTTATTTTTATTTCTAAATTTTTATTTATTCCAAATCAACAATAATACATTGGATGCTTTTATCATGTACAGTGTGTTTTGAAGTATAACTACATCATGGAATGGTTAAACCTTCATAATGAAAAAGGTATTATCTCCCATACTTAAGAATTTTGTATGAGAGCATATATATCCATTTTCTTTATATTTTCAAGAATACAATATATTGACACTAGAGTCACTTGCTGTACAATTGGCATCTTGAAATTTATTCATCTTATCTAACTGTAATTATATACTAATCGGCTAATATCCTCCCATTCTCCCCTCTAACCTGGCATATAGGAGCCACCATTTTACTCTCAACTGTGAAATTGACTTTTTAAGATTCCACATATCATGCAACATTTGTCTTTCTGCATCTGACTTATTTCACTTACCACAATAATTTCCAGTTCTATCTACATTGCTGCAAAAGGCAGAATTTCATTCTTTTTTATTTTCACAGTGTGTATATACCACATTTTATTTTTCCATTCACCGGTTCATGAATATTAGTTTGATTTTATATCCTGGCTATTGAGAATAATGCTGCACTAATAAGGCAGTGCAGATATCTCTTCAACACACTGATTTCATTTCCTCTGGATACATAAACCAATAGTGTGGGCTGGGGATTTAGCTCAGCAGTTCAGTGGCCTGCCTTGCAAGCCCAAGGACCAGAGTTCGATCCCTGGTACCAAAACAAAAAAGCAAAAAACCCATAACCAATAGTGAGGTTGCTAGATTGTGTTATTTTTATTTTAAATTTTGTGAGAAATCCTCACGTTTTTCCTAATGGCTATACTATTTTAAATTTCCACTAAAAGTGTGTAAGAGCACCCTTTCCTCCACATCCTCCTGGTAGTGGGTAGCAAAGGGACAAGAAAGAGGCAGAGGTCCCAATAAGCCATCAGGGACTTGTGTGCAGTGATCTAATGTCCTTCCAGGGCTCCACCTACTTAAAGGCTCCACCACCTCCCACCAGAGCCACAAGCTAGTGACCAAGCCTTTAATATATGAGCTTTTGGAGATATTCCAGAAGCTAATTATAACAGTAGCTACAGGAAGTGAAATTAGCAAACAGAGATTTGATTGGTGTACTGTGTGTGGATGTATGGAAATATGACACTGCAGCCCATTAATGCAGGTAATTGATATGAATTAATTAAAGTACCCACAAAATACTGGTAAATGGAATTAAACAAATGGTTTAAGCCATTTAACTAACAGATTTGTTTAATTAAACAGTTTATTTGACCATCATGAATAATCTTTTAAGTGAGTTTAAGTGCTTTAAAAGGTTATTCACAATGGTGAAATAGAATTTATCACCTGGATTGTGTATTTTATTACATATTTAAAATACAGATAAGCAAAAATGAAATGATAAAAATTATATTCCTAGTACCCTATTTAAAGTAATGTACATATTAAATTCACTTGGTAGTAAGCAAGGAGAATTAAAGTGTACTGAGGACAAAATATGAATAAGCAAACAATTATTACAAGAGAGGAAATTTGCTGCACAAATGACAATAATGTGCTATGACATAAAAAGTATGATTCATTCAATTATTTGCACGCAAGATTTGAAAACAAAGATAGAATAAAATAAAATAGAAAAAAACCAATAGAATTGAGTAAGATGAGTACATGACATACTTATGATATTATCCAGTAGATCATAAGTACCCAATAATGAGTAGTACTCCATATATTTTCCCAGAGATTGCTTTCATTTTATGATTCTTCAGTTGCTATGGTTTGAATGTTTGTGTTTCTCTAAAATTCTTGTTCAGTTGCTATCTCCAATGCAATATTAGTAACAGTTGATGAGTTTAAAGGATGATTAGGCTATAAAGGCTCTTTCCTCAGAGATAAAACTAGTGCCACTATATAGGGATCAAGGGAGCCACTTTATGCCCATTTTCCCTTCATCTATTCTGTCAAATGAGACACAGTATCCATCCCTTCTGTCACCTCCATTAAGTGTTAATGCAGCAACATTGGCTCCATCCTGGAAGTGGAAACTACTCCCTTACCAGACACTAGATCTGCTGATGCCTTTGTCTTGGACTTCCTGGTCTCTGGAATTGTAATAACTATCGATCATTTATGAACTACCCATTATAGTATATTATTTTTGTTATACAAGTCAAAAAAGATTGACAACTGTTTATCATCCACAGTTAAGGTCATTGTAATGTTCTGAGTGATCCAGAACATTTTCTTCTATTCCCCAGTCTCCAGTCTGTGGGTGGCACTAACCAATAGACTTGTAACCTAAACAGAATGAAAAGGGAAGGAAGGAAGGGTTTCCATTCTGGGAGAGCTGCAGTCTTTGCCATTGCCTTTGGATATCAATTTTCAGTTTCTTCTGCCTTCTAGTGAAGACTTAGGCCATCATCTCTACAGTGAGCTTCCAGGCCTTTGGCCTTCAACTAGTACTTCATCCTTAATGTTCCTTGCTCTGTGACTTCCGCCTTCTTGGGTACAACAGCTACTAGATCTTCCAGCTCTCTAGTGCACAGAGGGCCATTGTGAATTCTTCCATCTCTAATCCCTTAAGTCTACTTAATAAATCCCCTTGAAAAATTATGCATATGCTTTCTATTGATTCTGTTCCTTTAGAGAACCCCAACTAATACACTTGTCCATAGGATGCCATAGGATGAGGCCCCAAATTCTCAGAATGAAATTCACTGTGTACTCACTTCCCCACTTACATCCATGCAACTCAGATACTGCATATTCTATTCAAGCTCCACTCTTCACTAATCATGCAATCACAGAAATTTAATTCCCTGGGGCTGGGGATTTAGCTCAGTGGTTCTGCCACCTGCCTTGCAAGCACAAGGTCCTGCGTTTGATCCCCAGTATCAAAAACAACAACAACAAAAGAAAATTAATTCCCTCTCTGAATTTCTTTGTGTTCTTTATATTTCCTTCCTCTTGTAAAGCTATGATACTGTATCAATAAGAGGCAATTGTGAGGATTGAATATGTTTGCTCTGTAGTGCTTCATACAGACTGATCTATAGTAGAACCAGGGTAAATATTATTTTACTTTTATTTGTAATTTTCTTTCTCCCTCACCCTTTCCCAATATCCCTCATTCAAATTTTCTCTAATTTTTAAAAAATTAATGCGAATAAGTAAAGGACTGGATATACAGTAAGTGATTAATGTAATATACTCCCAACAGGAGGATGAAAATAATATTTTAAAGTTTCTTTATTTCCTTTGATTATTTATTAGTTTATTCATCATCTAATCTATTCATTCATTCATTTTACTTTGTCTTACAAAAAATATAAAGTTGCTCTGATTTTTATTTGTCTCTTACTATGAAGGAAGGCCCACCTTGGTGTGGGTGGTAGCAAAACTCCTACACTCACATACAGTGCCCAGTTGAGATACACAATCTATGTTACTCTTCTGCCTGGCTGACCTCAGGCATGTCTCTTCCCTCTTAATTCACAGCCCACAAGCCTGATCAGCTTCTGAAACCAATAAAGGTAAGGCATTGTCCAGTTTCAAAGATCTGTAATCAGTCACTTGTGTGCAACCTCCATTCTCTCGGGACATGTCAGTCATGAAGCCCTATTTAATGACTATTGCCATCTTTCTGATCCTCATTCATAAGGCTTCAGGTAATTTCAAACTTCTCTGAAAGGTGCTGAGGTCCTTCATAGGTAATATTGCAATTTTAGAAGCCTGGTATTAGGCAGCTTAGAAATTTTACTCTTAGTTCATATCCTGTCTATTCTCTTACTGACTTTGTACTCCTAATATCAAATTAAGAATTTGGTGGTTCTAGGTGAAGTAGTGGAGATCACCAACATAGAGCATTTTAGGGTGGCAATGTCATTGGAAGAGAGCCTGGAATAGGATTTGGGTGTGAGGAATTGAGGACTTAGGATAAATACAGGATTCCTTCAGATATAGGGTATGAATGGTGGTGCAGAGAAGTTAAAACTATTGGGTTGCAGTAATGATAGAAAAATAAACAGGGAAGAGCTGGAAGTGGAGGATGGTATTTATGGAATTAAGCTGGGACTGGAAGTCCACTGGGTTGAGGGATTATACTTGTGGTTGAATGAATCCAGTAGTGAAACTGGGTAAAGATGGAAATTGGAGCAGTGGGATTTCTAGATGATCTGGTTGTTGGGCTGAAGCTGGGTGTCCATGTTTGTTCAGGATGGTGGCAGTGCCTGAAACCATACCAAATGTCAGGGGGCTTTCCTTTCCCCTGGTGGGAGAGTCTGAGTTTTCCTATTATCATTAACCTGATAAGGATGCTGCTTTGAAGAAGCTATTTTATATTTTTTATTTAAAATGTTGCTACATATGATGCTCGAGTGGTGGCAGATGCCTGTAATCCTAGTTACTTAGAAGGCTGA